TTTTTTTTTTTTTTTACACCTTAAACTCAATCAACTTCTTTATAGTGATCTTCTTCTTTTCTCTTCTTGTCTACTTACAATAGTCAGGCTACTGTTTGTTTGATCAACGTTTTATTTGATCAAGAGAATAAGGTTACAGGAGTTATGGGCATATGGGTCTCTCTCTCTCTCTCTCTCTCTCTCTCTCTCTCTCTCTCTCTCTCTCTTACAGTCTGACTGATTATTAGGGTTTATTATAGAGGCAGAGAGGTGAGCATTGGGTACTGGATCACACGTGCGCTGCTCCGTGAAAAGCTCCTTTTCGAGGCAACAGCCAGAAACAAACAGACCTCAAGCCAAGCAAGCGTTAAAGTCTCTCCCTCTCTCTCTCTCTCTCTCTCTCTCTCTCTCTCTCATTGGCATCAGAGAAGTAAAGTTAGGAGAGTGAATCAGCAAGTGAGAAAAGCTGGTAGGTATAAATTAATATTTTCCATATAATAATAAGAGTTAACTTTGTCTTGATTCTGGAATGGATGCTCTCTTCTTGAAACCCTAGCTAGTTCTAGTACTTCTTTTCACAGCTTAAATTCAAAACAAAAAAATAAAAATAAAATCCCTCACACATGTATACATCATTCTTATTTATTTGTGTTGTTTCTTTGGATTCTAGTTTAAACCTATAAATATATATATATATATATATATATATGCTCTAGCATGCCCTCATTTCTGCTCTTGATCAGAGTTTTATCAGAGATATATTCTCTTTGAACATTAACCAGACAAAAGTTTTATACTACTAGGACTTCCATTTTCGACGCAAGTTTCCTACAGCTATAGGAGTAGCTCTGGCTATACATATAGCTATTGTACCGCAAATTAAAAAACTTTTTTTTTCTCTCTTCTTTCTTTTGCCTTTCCTTTAGATAACATTTTCCCAGTACCTTTTTTCTTCTGCTGTTCTATATAAAACCTTAAAAAAAAAAAAAATCTTTTTCTATTTGCATTCATTGGTTTAAGATTAAACCTCAGAAACATATGATCGTATGTTATGAACTTAGACAATATTGGACTACTTTTGTGGGGGATGATAATTAATATTCGGTGGACCATATGTGTACTGTACTCGAGATATCATGATTCATAATCCTTTACAGTTCATCATGATGATCAACATCACTTGATTCCTTCAAGTACACATTCTAATGACTATATTAAGTGTATAAAATATCTAGATTCTGTTCCTTACCCACCTTTTTTCCCCCCCTTCTTCTTTTCATGACTTCTTTGCTCCTACGCTTTCTTCTCTCTTTTCGTAATCGCTTTTAAGCTAGCCCAAAGTTCATAGCACTTCATAAAACCTTTTGGCTTTTGCAGAACTCTGAATTGATCCCAAAAAAACAGGTTTCTTCACCCTCCTTTTTATTTTGCATTATTGGCGCAGTAAGTATATTAGGATGTAAAGGGATTCTTTTAAGAAAAGAAAATTTTGTAGCGCATATATACCACTCTCTTTCTGCTCTGAATGCTGATCTATATATATATATAGTATTATATATAAAGGCTTTCTTTAGCAATAACGACACTTAGCTTCTAACTTATATTAGAATTAGCTATTTTATTTGATCCAAAGTAAGATGATATATCCAAAAAAAAGAGGGAGAGAGAGAGAGATGTCTATTGAGTATATATGCTATCTTCACGTTATCGTTGTGATAATTAATCATCTTGCAATTCAATTGTTTATGGTTTTTGTTAACTTCTATAGTATATAGTACTTCGTGTGCTCTTTATTAGCCATGGTTGCCTAATTATTTAACGCTCTTTAACTAATTATAACTACAAGTTTAATCGTGTGATTGTAAATTTGTAACTGTGTGAGCTAAATCAATATTAGTTTCTGGTATCAGTGTTTTGTTGCATATATGAAGAAGTGCAGATTCGTTACCAAGTTGAAGCGAATGGAAGAAAATCTCTCACTCCAAAAATATGGAAAATGAGAGAGTAATTAGCAATAGTTGGAATTTTTTTCTCACTTTTTTCTAAATCCGATTGTATATAGGAATAATAAAATGCATGTAATTAGCAATGGAAGGAATGCTTTGTTTGTTGTCAATTAATATCAATGGATGTTTTAACTGAGTTCCACAGTTGAAAAGCTCTGATAGCCATAACTACCAACATTGTTTTGAAATTGCAAATGGCAAAAAGTGTTTACTATGAAGTTGAAATAAATGACTTGATAATCGGAAAGAAAAATACTAGGGATTCCAAGTTTTTTGTGAAATTTTGAATATTAACTAATGTGGCATAAAAATCGCTATTCTTTCATTGGTATTATTATGTGTCTAAAAATTGTGATGTGAGTGAGTTGAGTTCAAAATTAAGATCCTAGCAATACTCAATTGCAAAACTGCTTGTTTTATGTTGCCATCTAAAACACCATGTGTTTTCATTTTTTTTTTTTTAAGCAAAAGGAGGGATCATCTTGTATTAATGATCTCATGCACATCCCAACTAGACTAGCATTAAGAAAAAAAATCTTGTCGTATACTAAGATCTACACTCTAAACATATTAAAAATAAAAGAAAAGGTCGAAAAAAAATACAACTAGCTAGTTCAGCTCGGAGGCAATCAAAAGAAAAATAAAAACAACATAGCTAAAAGAAAAAAACCATTAGAAATAAAAACCAACTGTCAAACCGAGCTCTAAAGATCTATTCGTGAAAGGGGGTCTCATTAAAAGTTTAAAACCCCTGAGAAGAAAGAATCCCCTAAAATACCACATATCTTGATATTTCATTAAAAAAAAAAAGGAATTATTTGCACTAAATATCTCATGAACTTTAGAATCATTCCCACACAGAGACGTTTGGTTCATGGATTAGAATCATAAGATTAGAACCATTTTTGATTTACGTATATTTTTTGTGAGAGAAAACACTGTAACGAACCATGAATTATGATTCAAATCGGGGTACGAATCCCCCAACCAAACAACCCCAACGAACCATGAATCATGATTTTAAAAGTTTTCACTGTAGTACTCTAATTTTTTTTATTTCTTTTCACTTTGGATCCCTCTATTTCATTTCCTCTCAAAAGTAGATAGAAAAAGACACTTGCGCTCATGTGGGCGCAGTTAAAAATATTAATGCCTTTGTCACCTCTTGATATGGGGAGTAACCCTTGATTGTAAGTTCCCTTTTTTTTTTTCTCTCATCTGGAATTTAGATTTAAGCATCCCAATCACAACCCAAGTTACTGAAATCACGGATTCAAAGAAGATGACTTGAAGTAAGCCGGCTTCATACAACAACAGCTCTAATTCGAAGATATTTGTGGCGAAAGAAGTTAAAGACAACCTTTTTTGTAAGTACGGATGAAAAACCCCAAATCAATTTGAGAAGAAAGTGAAGAGGAAAGGATTTTGGGACCTTCATTACATTCACAATCTGCCCAAACTTTCAAAAACAAAAAAATAAAATAAAAGAAAAGGCCTAATTAAGGAATTATAATGGCATATTTACCATCACACACACACACACACACATATATATATATATATATGCTCACGTGAGAGCGCACATGTCTTTTGGCGGGAAATTAAATGGAATGGACATGGTGGTATTGAATCAATTTTTTGAGTAATGGAACGGCACCAAAATTTAAGATTGGTGCTAATAACAAAAAAACATTTTGATATATTGATAGCGCTCCAAGTGGAATCTGATTCCTCCATTATGTAATGGTCTTATTAGTCTTCACGATGTCAACATCTTTCGGCTTCTGCAGGGCATGATGGTATTCCCTCATTCAAATCGTAATTCCGTCACCCGTGGTCTTGCTTAATGGGCTCTGTCTACTGTTAACATCACTCGGCCTGGCTAAAGAATATATTAGCTCCTCGGTGTCTGTAGACTCTGTTTCTGCACCAAATACACAAACAACAAGACAATGACGACGATGATTAAGTGACAAAGATATGGTTATTGACAAACCAATATTATTCCTTGGTCCCTACTAGTTATCTTAGAACATGAAACTACCTCTTTTTATTTTTTTTGTCTCATTATTACGTGGATATACATGTAGACAAACATTAACAACGCAGATAAGTTGGTGCTTGTCAGATTTAAAATCGGCACTTGAGTATTTTGGATTCAAGTCCGATAATTTCCGTAACAGTCGGGGACAGATTATATATGGTCTAATAGAGTTTTGAACCCCACAAGAACTAGCAACTTAAAAAAAAATAAAAATAAAAATAAAAATAAAATAAAATAAGGGCATGCTGTAAAGCTCATCTTTTTCGACCGAGACATATAGCTATTGAGTTGTATTAGTGCTTTGATGAAAACTAAACCACTTCATTGATTGTAAAAATTGAGCAATAGAACAATGACAAACAATACTACTTGAATGCGCCTACCTATAAAAATGTAAACAAAAGGAATGCCTTGCCCTCAAGCAGCTACAGATATTTCCTCTTCTATGCTTTCTTGTCACTTCAATCGGCTACAATAATAAATTGCTCAAACGAGATACGTAGACGGATTACAAACTGAAGCCCTCGCCCTTGCTTCCTTTACACAAACAAAATTTGCTTCAGATGGTCACTCATGTCCCCACTAGCATGATTCATGAAGGATAACTAGTAGTTTCTCCACAAAACCTATACAGCACTAAGTTGAATCTCTCTTCATGATTGCTCCAACAGAGCGCAAGAAAATGAGTTCCAAAAGCCATTTTGCATAAAATCAATACTAATCAATCAATTCTCTATCCGTAAACGTCGCATTTCCGCACGGAACGTTGGGCTTGAATGCAAAATCCGACGAGCAAGAGTCCTGATATCCTCTCGTGAACAGTCTCTTGAAATACGAACTAGTTCCCACAGGGCGCCTCCATTAATCATGTCTTTCGCATTTACTTCTGTAATTTTGCAAAAAGGAACATATGAAGAATAAGGTTTTGAAATCTCAACTGCTAAAATACACGAGACATTTTAATTTTTAATAATCAGATTATAATTTTCAATAATCTATAATCTGATTATTTTATAAATCTAAAATTTTGTACGCGAAATAAGCCATGTAACATACCATGTTGTGCCAAATGACAAAGTGCAAGCTCAATGTGGCGCCGAATAGGTGCAGCCTCATTGTTAGCATTTTGTACAATCCAAGGAAGTGCACCATCTTCTAGTAAAAGAGATCTGCCAGTTTTCAACCCTATAAAATGATAGCTTATTAGAATAGATACAAAACTATTAGCATTGAAGTAGAAAACCTATCCCGTCTATGCTTTTACCTTGACTAGATGCTCGAGATTCGCATTTAGCAAAGTTTGCTATTCCACGTGCAACTTGAGAAAGAACATCAGGATGCCCACATCTAACAATTCCCAACAAGGCCTTAATACCACCTTCAGTCGTCAGCTTGGTTTGTAGTTTCTCTAACATTTTTGTTGGGGGATAATTAACAAAAAGAGTATAACCTCCGAAAAGTGAATCGAAAATTATGACGCCAAAGAAAACAAACATACCATTGCCACAAAGATTAGCAATAGCTCCAGCAACCATTCGCAGTGTCTGGGAATCATCTGCATCAGCTGCTGTAATAGATAATAAACTAATTCCCCCTTGAGTCATAATAAGTTCTTGATTGGCTTCTGTTATCCAAGAGAAATGGCAATATGAGGGAAAGAAGAAGAAATTGGCAGAACAATCCAAATGAAGGAAACCTTCACAACCTATGAGACATTACCAAGCAATCTTACCGTTCATTGCGAGATTGGCGATTGCGCCAGCAGCCACTCTACGTATGGTTTCATCCTCAAAGGTTCTAAGAAGCATCAGCAAAGAAGTAAGACCGCCAGCTTCAACGATCCTCTTTTGATTTGTATCTGCTTATAACATGTGAGCACAAAATTGAATCTCACAGATAGAATAACAAAGCTAGAAATCTAATAAGATGCTAGCGATAAAACATGCTTGAAAATACATGGGAGAAGAGAACTACTAACAGAATGAGAGAGAGAGAGAGAATTTCTAACCCACCATCAGCTGCTAGATTGGCCACCACTTTTACAGCATTAATACGAACATTCAGATCGTCTGACTCAAGCAGTGACAAGATCTTTTGCAATCCAACTGTTAATTTAAATGTTTGAAAAAAAATGAGAAACGACCACCAACCAAAATGATCAAAAATTATATTACTTCACGAAGTACTCTATACAACCTTGCTCAAAGAGTGTGGCATCTCCATTTTGCATGTCTTTGGACTGGAAATGCCTAAACGGAGACATGGAAGAATCTATTCCGTTAAATCCATTTCGAGGCACACCTCTTTCAAAACACTTTCTCATCTGCAAATGTTTGGTAAATCAGAGGAAAATTTTGAAAAGCAAATACACGTTATAGTCTAAGTCTAGACAAGATCTGTTGAACCGTCGCCATTATTAGTAGTTTAGTTTAGGAGCAATTGCATTGCACGCTCCAAACTTTTATGCCGTAGACTCTAACCATGGAAAAGTAAAAGGCTTAAAATCCCTTTGTTTGAACTAAAGGCAAATTAGATCATACTTTTTTTCTGCTAAACAAATTAATCGTGTTATCACTGGTTAAAAGTCCCGAAACAAGCTATTGATAGGCACAGAGCATACTTGATTTCCCTAAAGTAAATACCTGATCAGCTTCAAACGTCAGTTGCAATAATTGACTTCGTAGTACTATTATTTCTTCTTCAAGTTTCTTTTTTTGATGTCTCTCCTCCTCCAGACTCTTTCGAAGCTTTAAGATCTCTGCATCCCCACTTCCCTAAACCCCCGGGAAATCTCTTGTAAATTATTACTCTGATGCTTTGGAATTGTCAAAAGATAGAAGAAACAAAAATCTTATAAGAGAGCATACCTCTGGTAGTGTATAATTTCCTGATTGGCATTTGAGATTTCTGACCTCCTCCTCAGCCATCTTTCTTAGGTTCATTTCTTTTTGGAGCAATTCTTTTACCTCAGCAATGTCCTCAGAAATGGGATACCCAGGTCCCTAAATTTTAAGGGAGAAAAGAGAACACCGATTTAGAGTTCAAGAGGTAAACTTCTATGTAATACTACAAAAGCACCTACTAATATAAAACAAATCCGTCAATTTCATTCTGCCAAAGAACAACTATCACCCCACCCAAAAAAAAAAAAAAAAAAAGAAAAAGAAAAGAAAAGCAAAGCCATGCCTCCCATCAAAACATAAAATAAATGAAAGTGAATAGATTTTAATTTGTTTTCTTTTTTTCATTACCTTTCGCAAAATATATATTTGATATAGAAAATTGAGTAGGGAACCCGAACAAGCAAAGGGATAAAATCTTATGAAAGTTAAGGCATAAACAAAACACACGAGCATGATTGAGCCCCAAATAATCTTATAAAAAAGTATCACAACCATATCTATCAAAATTTTCTCTATACATTAACAATTGATACTATGATCATTTCATGAAATTATACTAGAAGCGACTACCTCTCCATTACATTTACCATCAACTAAGCCACCATTTTCATGCTTCTGTTGATTTAACACCAACTTCTCCTCCAATTTCTTAACTGCCTCCATATAATCCATCTGGCATTTTAACCTCTCCTTCTACAAAGAGAGGAAATGAAAAACTTATAAATTTCAAACAAAAAACACAAATAACTGAAGAACCAAGTAAATCAGAGACTCGTAACTTCTATTATGATACTTCTCTCGTTTGTATGAATGACTCAACTCACCTCTAATGCATCTGCAAAGTTCTGCTCAACCTCGGCAATCCGGTTTTCTGATCCCAAGTGTATTCTTTCAAGTTCATCATCGAAAGCTTTTTGCCGCCTTTCATTTTCTGCAATATGCTTGTCCAACTCTATTTCAAGCCTTCTGGACAAACTTTTGTAATCAAACTCCTCCTTTATCCTTAACATATTTTCGACCTTCATGGCCTGTTAAAGCATCAGCATCACTAATTAGTGACGACTTGAGTAGTCATGTGGAGTGAACTTTCAACTTCAGATTCCAGCTAAACTTAAACCCCAATTAGTCATTCAAACACCAAATCAAAATGATCTCGTAAGAAGGGGAAACAATCTTCAAAGAATCATCTAATCATGGCAAAACGTATTGAGTAAATTACTTGTCATATGCCCTCCTACAGTCTGTACAAGAACTAACCCTTTGTCCAAATAGTATGGTACTGGTGGTCTCCCCTCGATGACGTGGAGATGGACCAATAGTGATAATTAGCGAAGTCCTTGCTGAACCTGTGAAATAATAAAAAATACAGCAAAATAAGTGTATTGTGCTAATTAAATAGCAAAACAATGACTTAAAAACTGCACATGGAAATCAAGCGTAACATTTTAAGAACTCTCATCCGGTAAACTTTGCATGAATATAAAAGGTATCTCACCTCCAAATGAATCTCTAAGCAATCTTGTCAGCTTTGAATCACGAATTGGAATATGAGCATTATTCTCTGCAAGAGCATTTATGCACTTCCCTAGGGCGCTAAGAGAGAGATTGATAGACTTGGCTTCCTCCAACATATGTCCCTCACTTCCTACAGAAAACGAAGGTACAATGTTTACCATCCAGTTAAAAACATATTATATTCTATTAGAAAGCTACATCAGACCCTACCACACCATCATGGTCAAGGGAAAACATTTTTTTACGTGATAGGAAAAGCTTCGACCCAATCCAGCCCATATTAGCAAATTTAGCAGTAAGAATTGAATCAGTAGTGAATAGTCACATCCATGACAACATTTTAAACCAAGTTAGTAGATGTATCAAATGCACAAATCCTTACAAGGAGACATGCGTACATAATTTACAAACTATATGCAAAAGTTATGCGAAAGTAAATAAAGCATGTACACATTTGTGTAAAAATCTCATGTAGAAAAAAATGGACGCAACTTTGGGCATATATACCTGACTTCTGAATACGCTCTGAACCAGCCAAATCTACCACAACAAGTTTGCTTTTTCGAAGTAGTGGCTTAAAAGGTTTGGTCAGATGAGAAGATTCTCCATTTTCACCTGAAAGACTATCTTCTCTTCCCATGACAGACCTTTTGACATGTACCTGCACTATAAAGAACCTAAAGATATCAAAACTCGAAAGATCCCAACTATGCCACATAAATTATGCAACCAGTTAATAAATTATGTTAGAATAGCAAAATAGGAAAATAGAGATAGACAATCATTTCACCATCAGAATAGCATGACTACGAGAAGATTCAGTATTCAACTTTGTGTTAGCAGCGATACGATGTGTTTCTCCCAATCTAAGCAACTCAAGAAAACTTTGTTGATCTCTGATTTCTACATGAGTTGCACCAGGTACCGAAACATCACCAGTTCTTGGATCTTCCACAATAGAAATATTATCATTTGACGGATCAAGAAGGTCTTGAAGAGTCTCCATATATAGCTACACATTTTATAGAAAAAAGAATGTTAAAATTGTGAACATCTAAGAGGTACGTAAATAGAGAACATTTATGAGAAGATCATCAAACTAAAGAGAGGATCCTAAAATTTATATAATAATAGATAACTAAATTGTGAATATCGAAGAGGGGCCTAAATAGACAACATTTATGAGAAGGTCGTCAAACTAAAGAGAGGGTCCTGAAATTACACAACCATAAAGAAAACATATTATTGAGCGGAAAACTTTGATATAAAGGCCTATTACTTGCAAATAAGATACAGAGATTGAATCCGACTCTGGGGATATATTTTCTAAAATATCCTCCATTGAGCGGACCATTATTCCCCGATCAGCTGTATCTTCCTCTCCTAATCGCCCAAGCGTAAATGTTTTTCCTGTACCCGTTTGACCGTAAGCCATAACAGTCCCATTGTAACCATCCAGAACGCTCTACAAAATCAAATGGCAGAGCAGTTAATCATTGTCCAAATACAAATCACAAAAGGATAGTATATCTATCATGAGATCAACTCTATATGAACTGACCGCCAAGATATACAGCAGATAGTCATTTGCAGTTAAAGCAAAACGTATGCTAAGAAGAAAACTAATGTACTGTAATACTAACCGCATCGCACAAGTTACGTAATGCACGGAAACGAAAAGTAACACACCTCAACTACAGGCTTAGCAACAACTTCGTAGACACGTTTCTGCGATGCAAATTCAGTAAGCACCTCATCAAATTCATAGGTGTCTGAATCCCAATTGTTTTTCCTAAGTTTCAACCGTTTAAGCTGTAGTAAAGAAAAGGCCAAAAGTCAATACAGGACCACAAACCAAGCTTTAACTACAAAGAACATTAATAATACCAAGACACCTTTAACAACAGCAAATTTAAACCTATAGCTGCTACAACTCAAATTGCGACAAAATTGAAAGTACCTCTGGCTGCAGTTCTACACAATCAGCAAAATCTGCATCCGCAGCCCTCTCTTCCGCATTCCGCGGTCGCAATCTCACCGCCACTCGAACTCTTCCAGGTACTATTTCACAAAACCAAAAACAGAGCAAATGCAATAACAAGTTCATCATGTAGTCGTACACAATTTCTTACTTACTAAAATCCATTTTCCAATTCTCCTTTTCGTTCTTGAAAGGATCCGAACACAAATAAACGACGCAAAACAAAATAAAATCTCACTTTGCACTCAACTCTTTGGCTTCGCTTAACCTAGCCAAGTACATTATATCTCAGAAGAACAAAAAAGAAATTTTCGAAACCTAAATATTTTTCACAGGCGGCATTGAGGCAAGAAACATGAAATCAGAGAGAGGACAAGTACGAACCTCCATCAGCGTGGAAGGAGGCTGGGGCACTACGGCGGACGGCAGATCCGGAGGAGTGAGGGGAAGGAGGGAGTCTGGACTTGAACGACGACGTCCTGAGGTTGAGAGCAGGGCGATCCAACTTGACGCCGCCGCGGTGACCGGTTCCGTTCCGATTAGCGGCGCCGGAAGCCATGGAAGACGGTGGAGCCTCTTCACCGGATCATATGGAGAGTGGTGATGAGTGAGGGGGTTTCGTTGGTTTCAAAGAGAGAGTTGGGAAGAAACGCAAAAGGAGAGTGAATGTGATGGGGATGGATGGTGGGGCCGAATAGACAGAAACTCCAAAGACAGATACAGAGAGAGACAGAGAGAGAGAGAGAGAGAGAGAGAGAGAGGGAACGAGATTGGGAGAATTATTTTGAAGAGGGAAATGTTGTTGTTTGCGGATTTTACAACTTCGAAATGTCAAAAAACTTGTCGTTGTTTCAACTTTTACTTTTGTTTTACTTTTACTTAACCCGCGTCATGGTTTTGTTATGACTTAATTTACTAGTGCCGTAGATTTTAAAAAAATTATTTTTAATTGTGTTAAAAAAAAGTAATTGTTATAAGAAGTAGTTAAGTATTTGGTAAAGTGTAATTATAGTAGCTGTGTTAGTTCTAAAATTAGTATAACAACGTTTTGTAAATTTTGAGGTTGAATTACTGTGAGTACATAAAATGACTAAAATAGACATGGTATGAAATTTAAATATATATAATTATTTTTGGTATTTATAAATACTTGTTTAACTTTAAAAAAAAAACATAATGCTATGATTTTGAGTTTTTTAACAATAAATTTATGGTAATTAATTCTTTTTTTTCCATTTCTTCATTCACAATATAATTACAACTAAAATGAGCATTAGTGAGTAATCAATTTGTTGAACAAAAATATACATTCCATGTTCAAAACTGGTGAGGCATGAAAAGAATTAAGCCGTGAAAAAACTGGTTGATTCTCTTCATAAACGAAATCATCTGGATTATCATTTGGTTAATTTTATTTACCCGGAAAGTTGAAAAGAAAACACAGCTGGGAAACTTGTCATTACCAGCTGGAGTATAAGTGTCCATTCCCACCATCCTTGTTCACCGTGACACTGAGCTTTGGGGAGAAGATGCAAAGGACTTTAAACCCGAGAGATTCGCATAAGGCGTTTCAAAGGTGACGAAGGGCCAAGTTTCGTTCTTTCCCTTCGGTTGGGGGCCTCAGATTTGCGTTGGTCAAAACTTTGCCATGGTGGAAGCAAGTTATATCTATAGCGTTTTATAAAGCGCTAAGACAATGGGCGCTATTAAAGGTTATTAATTTCATAGCATTTTATAATTGCTGCTTCAAACGCTATAGTAAACTGTGTATATATATATATATATTATAATTTGTAATTGTTTCGTTTTGGTGATACAACATGTAATATCAAATTTAACAACACCGGATAAATGAAACGTCCAAAATAAAACATTTAATACAATTTATATATCGTCGACTCTATCACTATTTTTAAGTTGGCAACTTGTACATAATATAAAGCATCATACCAATAGTTAATCCACAACACAGGCATCATAAATCTAAAAACCAACAAATTAGCTAGTAGAGTATCAAGGCGTTCCAAAATATCTAGCTAAACAAAGTGCCCTAACAAATTGATCCATCGTCAAAAAATGCTCCAACTCTGAAGAGAATTGATGCTTGAGACAGCTCTAATGACTCAGATAGCTCTAAAAGCATGAATAAAGGATAACCAACCAGGCGTGTTGGAGGTATAATGAATGTTGATGGTCCTATCTTCGCAGAGGCCGATGGAGGAGAGTGGCATGGCTATAGAAGACCCATTTTCTAAGCAACTCACAGCTTTGGTATCTAGCTTAGAGCCTTCATCCTAAAGTATTGAAGACATTGTTCAAGTTAGCGAGAAATGAGAGAGTTTTTAGGCAACTAGTGAAAGGTAAGAATGTTAAATCCATAAGCACAAATAAATCAACATCTCACAAGTTAGTGAGAAAGGCAAGAGTTTTTAGGCAACTAGTGAAAGGTAAGAACGTCAAATTCATAAGCACAAATAGATCAACATCTCACAACCAAGATAGATAAACGCAGGCTAGGATGATAAATATTAGGCAAACTATAAGCATCATTTCATTGAACATCATAGATATAGATTTACCAAGACAAACAAGAATTATTTAAAGACAAACCTGAAGCCTTGGCTTGAAGACCAAAGTGGATTTGTAGAAATAGGCATTCCGAAAATAAAGATAACAAAAAGTGCACAGAATCATCATTTGCAAAAGAGAACATGCCATGTATACAGCAATGCAAAATGAACTTTACAAGCACAAGAGAGATATTTACACACCGTGGTAGGCAATGTAGTGCCAAAGAGCTCGGACACCCATTCAAGGGGTCGACATCTCCCCAAACCAGAGGCCCAACCTCATCATTCCCAAGCTGTTCTAATTGCAAGTATACAAGATTTGGCTTATATGATTCAAGGAGTTTAGAGAACTCCTTTATGCTTGGGCTGGTCAGAGTTTGAACCTGCATTATAAGCAGCAACTAACTTAATGCAATATCCCAAACAAACTGATGTGAATACAAGCTGTTTGGTAATCTCATGATTATCTGTTTTTTTTATTCTTTTCTAAAATTCTGAAATAAGTATTAATAAATTATCTAATAATAATCATAGATTACCTTTTTTTAATTAGGAGACGTTTGGTTCATGAATTATAATCATTAGATTAGAATCATTTTCGATTTACGTGTATTTTTTGTGAAAAAAAATACTGTAGCGAACCATGAACCATGATTCGAATCGAGGTACGAATCCCCCAACCAAACAACCCCTTAATAATCGTAAATTTAAACAAATATAAGAGACTTTTTTCCGTATGTCACATTTTGATAGGTCATATTTTTTATCCGTGGAATCGACATAAAATCAAGTAAAAGTTAAAAATACATAGATCTAACGGTTAAAAAAATATAATCTACCGATATGCTAGGCATATCAGAAAATCTCCCTAACTATAAATGGTCGATAGAGATTTAAAAAAAAAAAAAAAAAAAAAAAAAAAAACCCCCAACATCTTTTTTGGAAGCCCAAAAAAACCCAAAGTCCATGCTTAAAAGTGTTTTTCCCACTAGCCAATGTTTGAGTCTACTTTAATGGAGGCTACATCCGCACTAGAAATGACTAACAGAGTCATCGTCCACGTCAGGCATACTCCTTTCGGACTTCACTGCAAGCTCACCTGTCTGAGCAAATTCATTCAAAGCTCACTTGTCAGAGCAACTTCATTCGAAAAAATCTTAGTGTCAGAGCCAATATGACAATTTCTTAGCCATTCTCGTATAAACCATCTCTGATAAAGTTTTGACACACAATCAGACCTCCGAAAGAGAAAGTCAACGTAGCAAGAAGTTGAGTCAAACACTCTTTAAAAGTTTCATACCTAGGAAATGTTGAAAATCTTGAGAGAAATGAGACTTGAAACACGTAGAAAGTACACTTTCCTTAAAGCGTAATTTGCCCACTCTCGTTAGAGATTGCTTCGGGTTCTCAGCAAATTGCTCGCAGGATATGACAAGCCTTTCAAGTTGTTAATCACAAGCAAAATGGCAACAACACTAAGAACACAAGAACTTTTTGAATTTCTGGAAATCTTTGAGCAAGAAGAGAGAGGAATTGTATAGTATATTTCACTTCTCATTTTTCTGTAATTCTTGTTCTTTTATAGTTTTTAATCACACCAATACGTACAGACACAACCAAACTTGAAAAGGCACCTTTTCCATTTGAATTGGTGTCAATTCAAGTTTCAAAAAATGTGTCTGATCGTTACGGCGCTGCAGCACCAGTTTCGGGCGCTGCAGCGCCCGTTTCTGGAAAATCAGAAACCGTCTGCGCATGCCCGAGCGCCGCAGCGCCCAAACTCAGCGTCGCAGTGCTATGCTCTCTGTCCAGTCCAACGCTGCGGCGCCCAGACACAGCGCCAAAGTGCTATGCTTGCTGGAAATTTTGTCCATTCCAGCGCCGCAACACCCAAACTCGGTGCCAAAATGCCCTACTTGCTGGAAATTATGTCCGCTTTTAGATGTGATAAAACTTAACAAATTCTTATATATTATATTTAAACAATCCCGACAATCCCCCACTTGTTTAAACATAATATTGAAGAATTCTATCCAGAAATTGTATATATGCATAAAGTAAAATATCTTTCGATTTGAATTTTACCTTAGTGTTAGTTTCACAAATGTATATCGAAATTCCAGGTAGCCTAAGGCTTTGAACCGGTTATTCCTTATGATAATACCGGTGAAACCACACACATAAATACATTAGAGTTCAAGTATTCTACACAACACTCGCTTTGCACTATTCATGTCCTTGTGCAATCTTGATTCATAAACTTTTCAAAGAGAAACTCCAACTCTTCTTTGAGACGGCACCACCTCTAAGTTTACATAGGTGAAGTTCTTCCAGTATCTTTGTTACTTTTAAGATACTTGTTCTTAAAACTGAACTTCATTAAGAGTTAATCTTTACTCATCCCTCATATAGTAACAACCAACACTAAAATTCTTTTTGGGCTTAATAGTTAGTGCTGAAACTCTCCACTTATCAATGATTTGTTATTACCCATTGAATCTAAAATTACTCATTTCGTAATGTTAGATTGGGCTGCCATCATTGGTGGATTTTAATCTAGGAGTTTTAGCCCCATCCCATTTGACGTCGTCCTTACTAAATCTCTCGAAAGAGCTTTAGTAAAAGGATCTGCCAAATTTTCAATAGATTTCACATATGTAAGAGAAATTATTCTATCTTTGATTAATTTCCTTACATAATCATGTCTAAGACTCATATGTCTTGACTTTCCATTGTATATCTCGTTATATGCTCGAGCTAAAGTGGCTTGACTATCACAATGTATTGATATCGTTGATACATCCTTCATAGTCAGAGGAATCTCTAACAATAGGTCCCTTAACCACTATGCTTCATTCTCAGCTGCTACTAATGCAACAAATTCTGACTCCATAGTTGAGTGTGTTATACATGTCTGTTTCTTGGATTTCTAAGAAATAGCACCTCCTCCCAAAATGAACACCCAACCAGTCGTTGATTTGTTATCTCCAATACTTGATATCCAACTTGCATCTGTATATCCTTCTAAAACAGCAGGGAATTTTGAATATTGGAGACCTAAGTTTTTAGTTTTCAATAGATAACCTAAAACTCTACCAATGGCGTTCCAATGTTCAACACTTGGATTGCTAGTAAATCTACTCAATTTACTAACAGCAAATGCTTTATCAGGTCTTGTGCACTGCACTGCACACATAA